ATATATATATGTATTTATATACTTAAAATTGTTTTATATATGTGCATATATCCAACATAGAAACTTATAAGCCCACCAAACCAATCCCCTCAGGATCCGCGATGGATGCCATGGACACCCAGCTGGTGCAAGTTGAGCAGGAGATGGCTCCTGCGACTCGTCTTGCACGATCAGGGTGGCTTTAGGGATTGGGCTCAGCATACAGAACTTCTTGCAGCTTAGGTTGTGGATCGTCTAGATCAGCTGGGCTTGCAGGCAAGAAAGAAGGCGAAGGCACGAGCCAAAGGCAAGGCCAAGCGAGGGGATTCGGAGCAGGAGGATGCAGACGGGGCACAGGGTTCAAAGGAGCCACAGGGTTCGCAGGAGCCAGAGGAAGGTTCGAAGGAGCCACAGGAGCCACAGGAGAAGGAGGAGGAGCATCCCCAGCCATCGAAAAGAAAGCTGAAACGTGCCAAAACCAAAGCTTCCAAGGAGTGGTCTGCTAAGGAGTGGGAGGATGATTGGGAGGAGGATTGGAGTGAGTGGCCCAAGGCGATGAAGAAGAAAGGACCGGTCTGCAAAAGGCCGGCTGCTAAGATCTCGAAAGGGGAAAAGGAGCCGGACGGAGAAGGAGAGGAGGAGGAAAACTCACCCCGCCCAAAAGCCAAGGCCAAGGCCAAAGCAAAGGCAAAGAACCCCAATCCGAAAGCCAAAGCGAAGAGAGAGAAGCCGCCAGGGACACGTACCGAGGACCGTTCGCGATGTGGAAACCAGAGCACATATTGCCACACATATTTCTAAGGGCTGTGATGTGTAAGTACCGTAGGACGAGCTCGAGATCAAAGCTTTCATCCACGAGTTCAATCGAGCCGGGGCCAAGCACAAGATCATGGCCTACTGGTCCCGAGCTGGCTTTGGGCTCTTGGAGGCAACCCCGGACAGTCCCCAGGTGTCTAGGCTGAGGTTGATTCAAACCTTCATTGTGGAATGGTTCGGAGTGCATTCTAAGTTGTTGTGATAATTGCCGCTAAGGTTGCCTACTGTGGATCCACGAAGGTTGACGTGATGGCCAACTTCTTGCCCATCAAGCAGCTTGTATCTCTGCTGACAAAGAACCCTGCATACAATCACGAACCGATCAGAACTGAACAACATTACCAAATATCTGAGGCCCTTGATCTTCATGTTGGCTTCGATCCGAACGATTCATTCAAGAAGTTTGAGGCTTCAAAAAGCTGTTTGTATGCAGCTCCCAGCGAGGGGGCCTGAGCGAGTTTTTCTACTGGGAACTTAGGGGGAGGATAGGGGGAGGTTACACACCAAGAATAGTGTATGCATACTTCATGGAGTCCAGAACCTTGCAATCTTTATGTTACATGTTGTGGACCTCTCATGCCTCCTACCTAATTGGTCGAGCGAAGGCCAAGATAGTGTGCTTCGCATGAGCTTCGGGAGTAGTCCGTGCCTGTTCAACATTGGACAAAAAGACGTTTGCTTGCCCGTGGTCTCCTGGCAATCAGCTGCATGTTGTTGAAGTCGCAGTAGCATCCTCGGCAGAGTTGAACGACAAACCCTAATCCTTTCGTGCGAATCGTTCCCCCCGCAGGCCTACGGTGGTGGTTCGTCGTATTCTTCAATCAAGATCTGCTGGCTACACTCGGAGCATCGTCAAGGAGACCAAGGGCGAATCCGGCTATCTTTGTTGGGTTAGTTTAATGGTGCTGCCTGGAAAGTTCTTTTGTGAGCACCGCGAGAGAATTGCCGATGCTTCTTGTTGTTTCAACACTTCTTCAGTGGTGCTGCTAGTGCCAAGTCAAGCAATAGCATAGTTATTCACTAATTATGTCCAGCAGCTCAGAACAAGCATCGGTGGCATGGCACATTCTTAGCATTGCTGTATGGCCTTGTTCGTGCGAGCCCTCCGAGTGATGGATGTGCGAAGGCCCGGCTTTGGGAAGGTAGGGGTTGCTCAGATTGCCCGAGATTGGGTTCTGGAGTCTGCTGCTGGCTTTCTCGTCTACATTATGCTGCTGGGTTTAAACTTCAGTAAACAAGATGTATCTCTCGGCCTCTGGTCCTTTCTAAACCCTACGAACCCTATGCCCCTAAACCTTTGCCGAAACGTTCCTTCAAGCCTGCGAATTTGCTCTGCAATGCATACCCGGCCTAATCACAAGTATCTTTCTGCCCTGCTAACCTATAACCGCAACCTTTAGCCCTGATCAAAAAACCGAAGCCTCCCAAAATCATCGTACACTCTGTCGGCATTTTAATTTAAAACTCCCCGTCCTATCTTGAGCCCAAGTACACTTTGCAATCCAACCGCAGATTCAAGCCCCGGCCTAGAACCAATTAATAGCTCGAAACCCCAACAACGACAATCCGCACAGGTTCGCGAAGCCCATCCCGGACCCAGGTCTCTACGCAAACGGGTTTTCAAGTTACAATAATGGGTGGATTGCGGTTTTATTCGGCCAGGATAGACCGCATCTTTTCGGAGGGTTGGGGCTGCTCAGGGTTTTGTGTTGCAGGTGTTCGGGCCTTTGGGATTACGAAGGACGGTTCTGTGCTGTTTGGCTGCCTGTCCTGTCTAGTTCCATTGCAACAAACAATCACTAAGTAACTAAGTCCTTAAGCACAAGCAGAAACAGTCGTATATATGTATATACATGTATGTATGTGTTAGAAACCCTAGAGCCGCATATTGCTTACAGAAGGCTTAGGAATTGCCCGGGCCAAGAGTGAGGTAGTTCCATGTGGGTGTGTTGGGGTTTCGATATGGGTAAACTTTATAAAGGGTCTGGTATAGCTTCTGCATGCAAAGTTTAAAGACCCTACCACTAAACCTATATAACCCTAAACCCCCAAGCCCCTAACCCCTAAAGGGTCATGTTGTTTCAGAGCAGCACACATACTTGCGACTTGAACAGTCTCCATGCTTTCTTGTCTGGTTTACATCGTTCGTAATAAGAACGATTAAGAAAGATCAAAGAAGAGATTCGCTTCGGTACTCTAGCTCTCTAGATCCTGATACTGCTCCATAAGTTTCGAAGGCACCGACTTTCACGCCTGGTGGTTTGCTTGCTGGCTGTGGGGTGATAGGATAGCTAGTCGGGAAAGATTTAAATAAAGCCCTGCCCCAACCATTTTAACAAAGCCCTTTCGGGAAAGTTTATTAGTGTCCCCACGATAGAACCCGAGCCCCGACTCAGTAGGACTTCTAAGATTAAATATGGTTTTACAGAGTCTACAGAGGTACAAAGGGTTCATTGCTCGCAAGAATATTCCTCACCCTCCTATTATGACAGCACAATCGAACTTGTAGTTTTGTAGCAGTTTCAACAACCCAGCCCCGCACGAATTCCAAAGAAACCTTTTCTCCAACCACGGAGACCTTATCGATCCCGAAGCACCCCGATATTTAAATGTACATCATATCTGTATAAATATATATATATATATATATACATATGTATATATATATATATATATATATATATACACGTGTATGTATGTAGACATATGTCTGTTCTTACATATATATATATATGTATATATACGAGCCTATATAATCTCCCAAAGGTTCTCCCCTTACCGAACGGGCTCGCTGCAGGCAGCCGAGATTCGTCAGACCTCGCTGAGAGGTTGGTAGTGAGGTTAGTGATGTGTGGGCATAAGTATTCCAATTTGGTTGGTCCAGAGGTTGTTTGGGTCGGGTGGGTATTTAGCTCGGACTACATAGGGCTTCGTTTGTTCAGGATTAACTATAGGTTTGTATTCCGGGCCCGAAGGCTTGGCTTGAGTCGGACTCCATAGTGCTTCGCATAGCTAGAATTCGTGTCTCGGTATTGGATGATTCTACGGCGAGAATGCAAAGTGCCGGTGGCTCTTGAGTTCCAACAAGTTGGCTTTTATGGGCTTTTCAGACGGGTTTAGCATTTCGGCGGATTTCGGCGGATTGGAGAGTGTGGGTTGTGATGTTTTTTTCGGGTGTACTTTCGCTTTAATTAGATCTGCGATCTTTTCCAGGCAGGTTCTGTTACACCTAGGAAATTATTTTTTTTCGGGGACCACCCAAAGCCGTAACCGTATCCCAACATAATGTCGACATTATGTTGGGATTTATCGGGATAGGGAGGTCAGCGGCCAAAACCGTAATGAGCCGTAAAAAAACCGTAGGGCGTAACGAAAGCGTAAAATCCCAACAAAAGCCCAACAAGAGGCCGTAAAAAGCCGTAGGGCTATCCCAACAAAAACCCAACAAGAAACCGTAAGAGGTCACATTTTACAAAGAGGCCACTTTTCCAAACTGCATCCCGCATTACCAAGCCATTTTATAGGTGTGCAGGCTGCAGCTCATGTGCTCCGGTGATGTCTGAGATCAAGCAGAAGCCTGTGTGTTGTGGGTGCTGTAGCTGTAGGATGGTGAGGGCTAGCAAGAAAGCCTCTCCGCCCATGGCTGGTGCAGTGGCTTGCAAGAAGGAGGTTACGGATGAGGGTTTGGAAAACCAGCTGGAGGACATACCAGCAGCTGCCGCATATAGGTGTTCTTGTTGAGCCCCCCCAAATCTCGAACATATGTGCACATGTATATACACACAAACATACCTTTCTGTAGGATCTGCAGAACATGCTCAACGAGCTGGGCAGCCCGGCTGGTAAAGCCACGCCGAAGAAGAGGCGATCTGGAACCTCCGAGAGGGTTCCGTGGCTTCGGGTAGCCCTAAACCCCCAAAGCCCTATAAAGCCGAGCCTCTGAAGCCCCAAACCACTAAAGCCAGCAACCCGCACTGCTCCAAACTCAAAACAAAAATTAAAACCCAAGACCCACAAAACCTTGTTATAAAGCCCATTCCCATATGTTCTCAGGATCACTATAGTACCATAATCCCATACCCCTAAACCTCGAAATACTTCGAGTTCTGCAACGGTTCCTGGGGCTATGTTTGGGTTGCCCAGGTGGGGCTTGGCGGTCATGCACAAGCCGATGATCGCTTCGTTCCGCAAAGACTCGAATCGAGGTTCAATGCAGTGGAGAATGGTGATGCAGAGTCTGGGTCTTCGCCTACCACGCTAGCCGAAACCCTCTTTCCGGCGACACAGCCGGACACGGCCCCAGTCGAACCCCGAAGTGCCTCCCGAGGGAAAAAAGCCCGGTCGCCCAAAGCACCTTCCAAGAGCAAGGACTGCATGTTGTTGAAACTAAATGGATGACAGCATGTATGAATCAATTGTTCTAAACCATAGTTAAACGCATATACATAACTATATATATGTCTATATCTGTCTCTCTTTCTCTTTCTCCTTTCCCTCTCTCTGGCTCTCTCCCCCTCTCTCTCTCTCTCTCTCTCTCTCTCTCTCTCTCTCTCTCTCTCTCTCTCTCTTTCTTCTCGCAGGGCATATCCTCTAATTGTGTTCATGAGGCATTTGTAGATAGATAGCTAGCATATATATATATATATATATATAGACGTGTAAATATATATATATATATATATATGCCTTTATGTATGTGTGTGTGTGTGTATGTAGGTAGGTAGGTATCCAGCTCTCCTTTCTCTCTATCTCTTTCTCGGTCACCTAAATTTTAGGTGACCAGTCAACTATAGGATGGGCCGAAGAAGACCCCTCCACGCACTGGCTCCGGTGGGGAGTCCGATGATGATGATCTCCTGCAGCAGGAGAAAGACAACCTTCTACACCAGCTCAGGAAGATCGAGGATCAGCTCCAGAGGAAGCGAGTGAAGGATGAAGCGGCTGAGGGCCCTCCCGCAAAGTCGATCAGACGAAGCAAGTCCTCAAGCCCAAAGCCGAATCCGCCCCAGACATCACCGCCTTCGTCGACAATCCCGACCCTTAATCGTGCACTTGCAAGCTCTACCCTCAGCCTTGGCAGCTCCGGAGCAACCCCTTCGCCGTCAACTGCCCGACCGAAGCCATCGACTCGCCGAGACAGACCCGTGGCAGCCCCGTTGCGAGTTGGTGGAAAGGCCGTGCCATCTCGATCTCTTTCGTGCACTTCGTTGCCTTCCTGTGTCGGGGGCAAATCGGCCTCCGAAGCGCCAAACGACGAGGACTGGAACGACGAGGAGCCGGAGGACTACGAGGAGGACGGTGACGAGGATGGCGAGGCGAACAGTGGCAAGTACGGTATGGTCTACGACCCCAGGACCGGCAAGGCCGCTCTGTGTGTGTGTGTGCCCCACAATCAGTATTGGATTCATCTGTGCTTGCCTCTTCGCTTCTGAGTGTATAATAGTCTAAAACTGTGTACAGGGCTTGATAACTCTCTCCCGCTCTCTGTGTCGCCGTGCATGCTTCGAGTTCTCTGCTGTCGCTCTCGCTCTCTGTTTTGTTTTTGTTTTCTCTCTCTCTCTCTCTCTCTCTCTCTCTTTATCTCCATATGTCTCTCTCGCTCTCACTCTCTACATATACATATGTACATACATAAATATACACATGGTAATGTTTATGTGCAGGTGTGTGTGTGTGATCATAATAGGGTATGTGTGTGTGCATGCATGTACATGCATCTCAAAGTTTTTCGGTGCTTGGGTATGTCTGCATGTAAACACCGACATACTTCTGTATGGTTTGTCGTGATTCTTCTTTTTCATGTAGAGTAGTTGTGGTGCAACCACCATGGGCCAGGTTCTTTCCGAAGCAGCCATCGACCAACGTGTTCGCAGAGCCTGTCAAAATGGCAAAAAAAAGAAGGCGACCGGGGGCCCAAAGGCAGTGGAGATGTACAAGGACCTCGGCAGTCGGGAGGAGTTGACGAAGATGCTCATCTCGGCTGGGTTTTGCACAGCCCCTCACCTGATATCGTAGCAAGTGACCAACCTTTCGGATCACTTTTCTGTGTCTCCATGAAATCCAGTCAAGTTAAGGCTGCTTTCAAGCGGAATATCACCAAGTTCTCGGAGAAGACACACAAGAAGAAGACTGACACAGTTGCTGGTTGGTACACCGAGTCAGCGATGTCTGTGCAGCTGAAACTCAGCGAGCCCTGCCCTTAGTGAAACCCTGACAACAAACGAAGCTTTTCCATCCCCAAGCAGTGTCACCTCTCTCAGGGAAGAGATCAAGGAGATCGTCGATTACACCTCAACCCGACCCGCTTTGAGGAGGCGGGGTGCACGCACACAACATGAGGATTTATCGGGGTCTGTATCTCTTGCTTGTGCTGAGGAAGTACAAGTACAATGCCAAGAAGCTTCAGCATTGGGTTGACAAAGAGACCATTGGTGTGGACTCAAGCGAGACGATCAAGGGCACACGAAAGGAAGTGAGCACGAATGACAAAGAGCTTCCCAGCGAAGCTGATGGTGAGGTTTCGGACTTCGAAAAGGACGAGAAATCCGACGACGAGCACCGGCCGAGCCAGAAGAAAAGCACGCAGGAGGATGTGCAGGGTGGCATTCAATACAATCTTCTCTCTCTCTCTGTCTCTCTGTCTCTCTCTCTCTCTCTCTCTCTCTCTCTCTCTCTCTCTCTCTCTCTCTCTCTCCTCTATACATACATATCTATATATTACTTATAGTATGTACAGAGGGCCTTTAGGTTTTGCAACCCTATGCTCCATACCCCGCAGGACCTCTGCGAACGGGCCGAGAAAACGATGAGTGACCTGTTGCCCCCCATCGCCAAGATGCACGAGCTTTCCGAGAAGTTCACGAAGCCCTACAACACGGATCCGAAGCCCACCCATGCAAGGTCTCTTGTAAAACATCGTCAGGTGGTAGCCGCACGACTGTCAAGTTTTGGGGTGCCGGTGCCTATCGATTGACGATATCTGCTCAGGCATGCAAGCGAGCTTGACCGACTGGCTGGCAACATGGAGGCCGTCTACGATGCATTGGCCGAGGTTCTGGCGAACCTGAGTGCCCATGGCGAATCTGATGATCTGTCGTGCCGTGCTTGCAATACGAAGCGGTTCAAGTGAGCTTGTGATGCGATGTTGCTTCTTTCCACACTCAGGTCCAAGATGCAAGATCACATCAAGAAGGCTACGGTTCTGCACCCCGGCTGTTATCTTTATCTTTTTGCTTGGCTTCTCTCTGTCTCTTTCACTCTCTCTGTCTCACTCCATCTCCCTTTCCTCTTCTTGTTTTCTGCCTAACTCTCCACCGCTTGCTCTGTCTTTATAGTCGGTTTGCTTATGTGCAAGTCAAGGATGGCCAAAGCAACTTCGAAAGAAGCTTCTTGCCAGTGTGGATCTTACATTCCCAGAGTAACCCTTCGAGCTGCAAGTATCAGAAATATCCGCACTCCCGTGATGAGGCCCCTCATCCGTGATATCGAGAAGTTGAAGAAGGCTTCTACGAAACCCAAGGGTCCAGCTACTCCAGGCCCTAAGCATGCGGCCAAATGTGCTGCCAAAGGCAAGCCGAAGAAGAAGTGAAGCAGCATTTTGCTGCTGATGTTCCAGATCAAACGATGTTCTAGTGTTTGTGCCACCTAGCAGATGATGTTGTCATGCGAGATCCTGTGCAGCAAGTCATCAGCACAGCTCTCCGATGTACGGAACTTACAGTATGTGTGTGTGTGTGGGTTGATATGCTAGCTGTCTGCTGCACGGGTGCATGCAAGCTCGTCGATCGGGCCTACGGGGAGGCCCTGTGGCTACCGTGAAAGAAAAAGACGCCCTCGAATGCCTTTATCTTGCAAACCTCCAACTATGCCGTGCAAAAAAAACCAAAGCCAGGTCGAGAACTGCAGCGCCTGAATGTGGCGAGGTCGCTGTCGCGAGGGGCTCCACGGCCAGTCGTGGGATCGCTGGGAGGATGGCTTGGTCGAGGATGGGTTTCTAATATAAGAGAAGGTTATACAGGCTGTATCGGGGTACAACAACCTCGGATATTGTCTCATAGTTGTATAAGGCTCTTCTGGAGTTGGCTTAGCTTTCTAAGGTTCTGCCTAGTAACCAAGGGAGTTGGGATCGTAGAAGTTAGGACCGAGGTTGGGCATTGGGGTTGTTGAGATTTGGTTTGGGGCTTTCAAGGTATTATTTTCGGTGCTATTGAATTTAAGGATAATTGACTTTATATGTTTTCTAGTAGTTATCCTTATGGTCCCCGGGGTGGCACATATAACCCTCTCCAGAATTCAGTCAGTCACCCCTCCCCAGACCCCCAAACCCTTTAAGTATGACCCCCAAACCCGTTAAGTATACCAACTTCCTCCGATGTATCATTTTAAGGAAATCAAATAATAGCTACCCAAGGCAACAGGGGAGAGCATCTGGGCCGATGCGAAATCACGCTTGGAAGAGCCGGACCCGCCTTCTGCGAAATCGATTTATGCTAGGCTTGCCAAAGGAAGCAAGCATCGAGCTGAGAAGAATGCCTTTCGGGAGCCTCTTGGTACAACTAGTTCGATTCTACTGGTTTGGTTGTTCTCGGTTGAAAATAAAATAAAGTATGACTTTGCATCTCCGAGCATCATAAATGACAGGTTGCAGCAAAGCGGACATACTTTGCAAGTAGACATCGACTACATTCCGGTTGAAACAAGCACTGGCATCAGACAGATTCCGTGGTTGGATCCATACAAAATGGTATCTTGTTTGGCCCGGGATGCTAAACTGGAGTTTCTACATGGAAAGAATAATTTGTTGGAGTGGTGGCGACGGTTCGCCAAAGTGGAGCCTGGGCATCGAGCTTTCAAGGCTGCCGCCCGTGGAGACATCTCTTTGGAGAGAACGATTCCGTTCTTTTCTCATGGAGATGAAGGCAGGGGCAAGAAAAAAAAGGGCATCTTGATATGGTCACTTCGTGGATGTGTGGGCTTCGGGACACGACAGTTTCAGGAAATGCACTCCGAGGCCGAGCAGAAAAACCGAATGGGCCTTAATATGTCTGCTAGCATGACCTCCAGGTTTCTTCATGTTGCAGTTCCAAAGGCAGTGTACGGAAAAAATGCAGAAACTGTTTGGGATGCAATTGGCCGCAACATTGCTGCATCGTACGAGCGACTTGAAACAAAGGGTTTTTTGGATGCTGATGGGAAGCATTATCATGCTGTTTGTGTTGGCCTTACTGGAGACAACCCGTTTTTGGCCAAGGTCGCCCACTTAGAGCGATCGTTCGCCAGGGTAGCCAAATCGACTGGGGAGGATGTTTCCCATGGCATCTGTTGGAGATGCCTAGCAGGAACCCCAAACGTGCCTTTTGAAAATCTGAACCTACATCCGGAGTGGAGCTACACGATCGACGAGACTCTGCCTTGGTCGCAGCTGCCACCTTTTTTGCGAGGGCTAGGCTTTGACGAAGACGACTTGAAAGCGCCACGATTTCTTGAGTTCGATATCTGGCACAATTTTCACGGAGGAACAGGGAAACATATTGCAGCCTCGACAGTGGCCGAAATACTACCCAATCTGGAAGTGGGATCTATTGATTTCAAATTTAGCATTCTTCAGCAAGCCTATGAAACCTGGCGAAAGAAGTCAAAACTGACATTGCATATTGGCCACTTTGACCGGGAACTGTTCGGGATGGAGCAGGGCTACCAAGTTCTTCCAGTTGGATGCTGGAGCAAGTTCTCGGACACTCGTGTCCTGCTTTGTTTTCTGGAAGACTTCTTGCGAGATCGGGCCCTCTACGTTCCAACAGAGATTACTGAGGAGGCTCTTATTTGTATCGCTGCTGGCAATCGAGCTTTTAGGCTGTCTTACCAAGGCGGCTATTGGCTTTCTTCTGATGAAGCGAGATCCATTGGTCTGTCTGGTCTCCGGTGCTTACAATCGTATGCTAAGCTGGCTTTTGTAACACTCCAACAGTCCAGATCACGATACCCGATGATGCCCAAGAGCCACTATCTACATCACTGTTGGAGAGAGATTATCTTGGCGGCAAAGAGGCATGCTTGGGTGAGAAGCCCACTGGCCACATCAGTGCAGATGGATGAAGATTTTGTAGGACACATGTCCCGGATGAGCAGAAGAGTAGGAAATCAGCAGTTAATGCTGAGGACTCTTCAGAGATACTTGGTGGCCGTGAACAGGGCTCTCAGCTGAAAAACATGGCGGACTCGCGATGTTTCTCCGGATCTTTCAAGACTTAAGAGGGTTTTGCTTCGGGTTTTTTCAAGCAGCCTGTCCCACCAGGAAATTAGTGTTTTTCGGAGGTTGTAAAGCGGTCGGTTTTTTAGCGAGGTCGGATTTTTATATCCTCTTCGAGCGTCTGGTTTTTTCCAGCCGGAGGTATCTACAGGTAGGGTTTAGGGCCCTAGGGTTGAAGGTTTGGGGCCTTGGGTTTAGGGTTTCGGGGCCTTGGGTTTAAGGTTTCGGGGCCGAGGGTTTAGGGTTTGGGTGCTAGGGTTTAGGGTTTAGGGCCCTAGGGTTTAGGGTTTAAGGCCCTAGGGTTGAGGGTTTGGGGCCTTGGGTTTAGGGTTTCCGGCCCCAGGGTTGAGGGTTTGGGGTGTTGGGTTGAGGTTCGGCGCCTTAGTCGACGGTTTAGGGTTTAGGGTGCTAGGGTTTAGGGTTTAGGGCGGGTGCGGCGGGAGGCCGTGGGGGCGCGGGGCGCGGGGCGCGGGGGGGGTGCAGGGAGCGCGCTGGAGCGGGGGGTGTGGGGGGCACATGTGCGGCCACACCGCGTGCGTGGCGGGACCGGCGCGGGTGCGGGCGTGGGGCGCGGGGCTCGGGGGGGGGGGGGGGGGGGGGTGCGGGGCGCGGGGGGGGCGCGGGGCGCGGGGCCAGAAGCGGGCGCGGGAACGGGGCGCGGGCGCGGGGCGCGGGGCGCGGGTGGGGGCGCGGGTCGGGCGGGCGCAAGGGCTGCACGCGCGGCGGGTGCAGCGTGGGGCGCGCGGAGGGGTGCGGGAGAGTTTCGGGCAGGGACTGCGGCCACGGGTTTGGTTGGGCCGCGGGTTTGGGCCATAGGAAAACCCTAGGCGATGGGTTTTACGGGCCAAGAAGCAGCCCCCTATGAAAGAAGTGCACCCTCAAGTTGCCCGGGGCGACCGCTACGCTGTCGAACAATTTCTATAAATTTTAGACGGCTTGCGCCGAAGGTGCGCCAGCGCAGCTTCTGGTTTGATGTTCAGCAGGTACGCAGGATTTAAGGCAAGCAACGGTCGACCATAGGGCAGTTTAAGTAAATTGACAAGTTTTTTCTAAGTGCAACTGAACGGTTTAAGTAAATTGAAATGACCCAAGCAATTCCCAGTAGCGCAGCTGCGCCAAGAAGCACCGGATGCCAAGAAGATGTGTACGAATTGTGCTCGCAATCAACGCACTTTAACATGCTATACGTGCGGAACGACCAAGCTTGCCAATGCTTTCGAGTCCAGCATGTGCACCCTGCCACGCGGCTGTGCGGTATGCAAGGACTGCCAAGAGGAGGTGCGTCCCAAAGCGAAGCGCCTGCGTGGAGGTTGGTTCCTGTGCAGGGGCTGCGACCAACCCTTTGGCCTTCGTGCAGCGGGCAATGATAGCAGTAGCCATTGCTCCAATTGCGCAGTCCGTGGCACCAGGGCGTCCACTGGATGGCACAAGTGCCAGAACCCAAAATGCCAGAAGCTGTATCAAGAGGTTCATGCACCTGGACTGACGCGGCCGAAATTCTGTCCGGAATGCAGAGCCGGGAGACAGAAGCGAGCCCGCAACTGATGTCTTGTCTCTTCCAGCTCGCTCCCTCGCAAGTAATAGGATGATATTGCTTGAATATGGCATTCTTACTCATGGGTGGTATGTTAACACGATACTTCACCACATCCATCCCAGCAGCTAGCAGCAGACACTGCCAAAAGGGTCGCTGACGAGACAAGGATCAGAGGGGCTACCGGGGAGATGATCCTGCAGTTTCACACGACGTATAGAATGAGCACCGCCGCGGAAAACGTTAATTCTCAGTCCAATTCCATGCGAACAAAGCCTGCGACTTGCTAGACCATGGCTCCAGAGGTGGCGTGAGCAAGGTCCTCGATCAAGTTGCCTTTCGGCTTAGAAGCCAGCAGCTCAGTCATTCATAGCTAGCGCCAATGGCATGGACTGTATGCCAATTGCAGAATCAGTGTCTAGGTGCTGGCTCTCTGCCCCAGCCCAACCTCAAACACATTCCCTTTTTACCGGCATGTAGGTTGTAGTGGAGCGTCGGAGCAATTTCGCATGATGTGCGTGCTGCAACGTCCGGCTCCAAGTTGGCGTGGAACCATTTTCTGCAGCGCCGTGTGAAAGGTTGAAGCTTCGGAAACTTCTCGAAATGCTTTGCCTATTGCGGCATCCAACACCACATTTCAGGTGAGAACTGCTTCGCTAATCGCGGCGGTACCCGGCACTGCAAGTGGAGTTTGTTTTGCTTGTTGGGGAGTCGAACGCCGCACTTCAGGTGAGAGTTCTTGGCCGAAAAAGCTGAACGCTTCTCCAGCCAACTGGAAAAAAGGTTGCTCCATGTGTATGAAAAGCGCAAAGACAACTCCTCGCCGTTACAAGCTTGCGATGGCCACAACATCGCTGGAGAACGCCAACACAATTTGGGGGCTTGGAGGGGGCCTGCAAAAAGAAAAACCAAATTTGTGAAAAAAGCAAAAAAACCCAGTTTGGGGGCTTGGACGTAGTTCGGGGGCTCAGGGGCACCAGCCAAAGGGCCCAAAAAGCCAGGGATGCAGGGGCAGGGCGCTTCATGGGAAAGGGTTTCGTGGGAAGGGGGCCACGTGAAAAGGTGCAGGGAGGGTCAGAAGGGGGCGCCGGGGTTAAGGCCGGTTTGACAAAAAAAAGATTTTTCCGCCAAACTTTAGGGATTGAGGGTGCCGGGGCCTGGGCCGGGTGGACAAATCATCCACCAAACTTTAAGCGGCCGGGGCTGGGGCCGGGCGGACAAAAAAACTTTTTCCGCCAAACTTTAGGGATTACGGGCGCCGGGCCGGGTGGACAAAAAACAGCTTTTTCCGCCAAACTTTAGGGATTAGGGGCGCCGGGGCCGGCCGGGTGGACAAAAAAAAATCAGCCAAAAAATCGGGAAAAGGGGCGAGGCCGTGTGTACGAAAAAAATCCACCAATCTTTAGGCCGGGGCCGGGGCCGGGTGGACCAAAAAAACAATTTTTTCCGCAAAACTTTAGGGATTAGGGGCGCCGGGGCCGGGGGGTGGACAAAAACAGCTTTGTTGCGCCAAACGTTAGGGATTAGGGGCGCCGGGGCCGGGGCCAGGTTAACAAAAAATGCAAACACAAATCCACCAATCTTTTGGCCGGGGCCGGGGCCGGGTGGACAAACAAAAACATTTTCCGCCAAACTTCAGGGAGTAGGGGCGCTGGGGCCGGGGCCGGGTGGACAAAAAAAGATTTTTCCGCCAAACTTTAGGGATTGAGGGTGCCGGGGCCTGGGCCGGGTGGACAAATCATCCACCAAACTTTAAGCGGCCGGGGCTGGGGCCGGGCGGACCAAAAAACTTTTTCCGCCAAACTTTAGGGATTAGGGGTGCCGGGGCGAGGCTGGATGGAAAAAAGCAAAAAATTTTTTCCGGCAAACTTTAGGGATTAGGGCTACCCCCCTAAGGAAAAAAAGCTAGACAGAGCTTGAAAGCGGAATTGGCCGGGGCGCCCTCGCAGTCCAAAAACTGCGCTGGCGAACCCTAAACCCTAAATTTAGACGGCTTGCGCCGAAGGTGCGCCAGCGCAGCTTCTGGTTTGATGTTCAGCAGGTACGCAGGATTTAAGGCAAGCAACGGTCGACCATAGGGCAGTTTAAGTAAATTGACAAGTTTTTTCTAAGTGCAACTGAACGGTTTAAGTAAATTGAAATGACCCAAGCAATTCCCAGTAGCGCAGCTGCGCCAAGAAGCACCGGATGCCAAGAAGATGTGTACGAATTGTGCTCGCAATCAACGCACTTTAACATGCTATACGTGCGGAACGACCAAGCTTGCCAATGCTTTCGAGTCCAGCATGTGCACCCTGCCACGCGGCTGTGCGGTATGCAAGGACTGCCAAGAGGAGGTGCGTCCCAAAGCGAAGCGCCTGCGTGGAGGTTGGTTCCTGTGCAGGGGCTGCGACCAACCCTTTGGCCTTCGTGCAGCGGGCAATGATAGCAGTAGCCATTGCTCCAATTGCGCAGTCCGTGGCACCAGGGCGTCCACTGGATGGCACAAGTGCCAGAACCCAAAATGCCAGAAGCTGTATCAAGAGGTTCATGCACCTGGACTGACGCGGCCGAAATTCTGTCCGGAATGCAGAGCCGGGAGACAGAAGCGAGCCCGCAACTGATGTCTTGTCTCTTCCAGCTCGCTCCCTCGCAAGTAATAGGATGATATTGCTTGAATATGGCATTCTTACTCATGGGTGGTATGTTAACACGATACTTCACCACATCCATCCCAGCAGCTAGCAGCAGACACTGCCAAAAGGGTCGCTGACGAGACAAGGATCAGAGGGGCTACCGGGGAGATGATCCTGCAGTTTTCACACGACATATAGAATGAGCACCGCCGCGGAAAACGTGAATTCTCAGTCCAATTCCATGCGAACAAAGCCTGCGACTTGCTAGACCATGGCTCCAGAGGTGGCGTGAGCAAGGTCCTCGATCAAGTTGCCTTTCGGCTTAGAAGCCAGCAGCTCAGTCATTCATAGCTAGCGCCAATGGCATGGACTGTATGCCAATTGCAGAATCAGTGTCTAGGTGCTGGCTCTCTGCCCCAGCCCAACCTCAAACACATTCCCTTTTTACCGGCATGTAGGTTGTAGTGGAGCGTCGGAGCAATTTCGCATGATGTGCGTGCTGCAACGTCCGGCTCCAAGTTGGCGTGGAACCATTTTCTGCAGCGCCGTGTGAAAGGTTGAAGCTTCGGAAAATTCTCGAAATGCTTTGCCTATTGCGGCATCCAACACCACATTTCAGGTGAGAACTGCTTCGCTAATCGCGGCGGTACCCGGCACTGCAAGTGGAGTTTGTTTTGCTTGTTGGGGAGTCGAACGCCGCACTTCAGGTGAGAGTTCTTGGCCGAAAAAGCTGAACGCTTCTCCAGCCAACTGGAAAAAAGGTTGCTCCATGTGTATGAAAAGCGCAAAGACAACTCCTCGCCGTT